ATATTGTTTTAGATTAGAGATTAGGTTGAGCTGATTTTCAAATCAAGCCTTTAGGCTGCATTACGGATGGCTTGTCAGAATTTGAATCTATTATCAGATGGTAAGTAATCAAGTTCACGTGTGCATCAAGTGTCCCTTTGAACGGTGTAAACAAGGCGCTACGTGTGGTATAATATTTATATTTACACACCGTAAGTTCGCTTCATTTTAAACCCCCGCGAATAGACAAGCTCATCTTCCTCATCGCATGTAACACGAATGTTAAGTCAGTTGGTAGGCGCCGCAATGGAGTCTTTATCAACGTTTCCTCAGGGGGCGGACATGAGACGAGAGCGAGCTGAGGCTCCTACCCAACACCGACAATCAAAAAGGGCTGGGTTATCATGGGCAAGAAGTTGAGTCATTTATGAGTTTGAGGTGATTGTCAGTGTCAATTAATGTCAATGAGCATAGGTGATTTCGACTCACAAGGACCTGGAGCAGATCATGAAAGTCGTAGCAACAGCATCTCTCTCAATGACCCTTGAATACCATCTTTTCAGGAGAATAAATAGATTGGTGTGCCGGACGCTAGAAATCTCCGACCCTTTGGAGTGCAACGTAATATCATCTCGATATCTGAAACAAATACCAGTTGTTTACAGCGTACATGTGAGAGGTGTGCCACCAACTGCGAGGTACAAAATGAAATTTGTTAGTGTCGGCCTCGCTGCAACCACAACGTTTGTTGCATTACCGGTGACACCTACTTTATCATAGCTCTTGCAAAATACAATTAACTGCCGAATTACTGTCGTAGGGGCTGGGAACATCGGCTCATCCTTGTCCATCGACAGAGTTAAGATGTTGACGAAGGCTGTGGAACGTCAGGTGGATGAGGTCTACGCGAAGTTCACAGCAACAGGACTAAGTGATAAAAATGGCTGCACCTTTGCAAAAAGGATAGGTCGAATTTTTTCCTAAATTCCGGGAACATTACAATGAATCAAGATAGATAGCTGCATACGCGATTAAAATCTGACACAAAAAATATGAATTAAGACACTGCATCAGTTTGGCCACGTGCCATCCGCGTTCGACCAATCCAATGCCAAAATGGTTATATGACTAGCAAGATGATTGGTTACTTTGTTTTCTTTTTTTTTATTGGCGCAGAGGCTGAGTGAAAATGCCGGAATGGACTTTAAATCTTGCTAACTGTCCAATTAGAATGATTTCCGAGACAAATAAATTCCGCTCCTTGAACATGATTGCCCAATGTCCTTTAGAGTTTGGTTCAACGATTTCCAGACCTGGCAAGTTCTACATTCATGGTAACCTCCCTATCATATTAAACAGCAAAATTTTTATGCCATTCTATCACCCTTCAGAATACGCTGTAGCATATAGAAAGTAGGATCATTTGTGATGATATATCACTGAAATAGTCTCGAATTGAATCTCGAATCGTTCATAGATTAATGCGGAAAGGAAAAGGTGGGCAACTCTTAAAATTTATCAGACAGACCGTATCGTCCTACGCCACTCAATCGGACAAAATCAAAAAACCTGCATATATCCTATCCTCCACAATATCTCCGACCTGCCACGAGAAATACCAAAATAAACCCTTACTCAAACTTGCGCCACAGAGAGCGGTGACTCAGCCAGAATTTTTACTTATGAGATCTGCGGTGGTCCTTGTGTCTGCATCAAGGATCAAGATCTTCGATTCCAGCCTGTCGGTTCCGCAGTATTGCCTGTATCAGCTTCTCTGATATCCCCCATCCTTCAACCCTTCTTTTGTCAATGAGTTATAGCTACCGCCTAGCTTATTTTCCAATGCCAATTAGAGCTAGTCTTAGACAAGGATCGGGAAAAGAGGGACCTCTGGAAGGGGTTTACTTCACTTTGCCTCGGGTGATCAACGTTCTATCACCAACAGCCACCATGTCGGGACAAGGCCCCCTCTCCCGTCCCGAAGTTGTAAATAACGTTTCCCATAGTCCGGACTCGTTTGACTCTATGGAGTCCATATTGGGCTTCTGTCACATACAAATCGAGGAACCCGTCACCGAAACCGGTCTTACATACACTTGCATGAACCATTCTTCTACTTTTGTATCACATTAAAATCTTAAAGCAAGCTATTTATGCCACTTTTACTGTGCTTCATTGCTCACCGTTATTTGGACTACTTATATTTCTATGCCCCTTAAATTTCGATCACCTCTGATTTTGCCACAAGGAACAGAACTAGTGAGACCATCTTGATTACACGTGCAGGATTTTACGTTTATCCCATCAATATCTTACTCGAACAAGCCTGCCCTGATAATAGTGAACGCTTTTATTCCTGAAAGACCCATCTGTCTTGGATCTTCGACATATTCCTGCAAAAAACAAGTCGAGAGCCTTAAATGGCACAAACGCAGCACAGTTTCAGTATGACACAGAACGAAACAAACCACGAGCCTCAGAATAATATCAGCTATTGTGAGAATGAAGATTGGGTGAACCTATACTCAAACTACGACTCATCACAACCGTTACCGCCGATAGTATTTAAAAATTCCGAGCTTACATACTGGCAGCCATTATTACCTTATGATATTGAGCAGTCACATGATACATGTAGAAGAATTGTTCCGGCCTACGCCAATTATGACGGGATTTCGTCCTTTATAACGCCTGAACATCAGAATTGGCCTTATGTGCTATCTGAACCTGAGAGATACCAAACAATAGTCACTACTGCTCCTCCAGTAGCTTCTATTTCTAAGCTAAAAGTTGTCGGATCGAAGTCAAGAGCTAATCATTCAACCTCATCACCGCGGAAGACCCTTACACATAACGATAGGCGGCGAATGTGTCAGTACCATGAGGAGAATCCGACTGTTAAACAAACTGAAATCGGAGGTGAGATTTCTGCATGTACACGTACAAGAACAAAGTTTACTAACTTACAGTTACAGCGAAGTTTGGCGTTGAACGAAGGTTTGAAACAAATATGGCATGAATTTTAATTGAGATTTACTAAGTTTTATGTAGCACAGTATCGAAGGTATTGCGCCAAAAAGAAAAGTATCTTTCTCCCGAAGATCGTTCTTCACCTCCCATAAAGTATGGGAAAGGAAGATTCCCAGACATTGAGCGAGCTCTCTCCAATTGGGTTCGAAATGCTCAAAAGCAGGGGCTTGAACTCACTGATGATGCTATACAGGAAAAAGCTGAATATTTCGCAGCCACTGTAGGCTATGGCGAGAATCGTTCAAAGTCTAATAGCTCCAATTGGCTTGGAAAATTTAAGCAAAAGCATGGGATCTGCAACAACAAACCTATGAGACGTCGCTCAGAAGCTGACGCATCATTAAACTCCTGGTATTCTACAGAGATAGATCAAGGACAGGTCTTCAAATCCTCTCCAGGTATTCCACCATCACCGCACACAACCATGATTACCCCTGCACTCTCTCCATCGGCCGAGACGGAGAGAGAAGAAACCATTGAATATAGCGGGATTTGTCACCAAAATAGCCAGTCCAAATCTTTGGTTAACTCAGCGACGCCTTATGCGTTTGAACTAGAGAATTCCGGATGGATGCAAACTCTACAGACGGCTCTACAACCATCAAGTGACACACAGCAGCAACAAACATGTCGCATATCTCCTGATCCACTTCGTAGAAATTCTAACTGTCTTCCTGCCTTTAATTCTCTCCTGCCAATAAAGGAAAACTCAGTCTCAGTCTCATCTCCAGTACTCGATACCCCAATTGATTTAATTCTCTCTCCGCACCCTTTGGATTCAGTCATCTCTTTACCGCTAAATCATGACGGTTGTGGCGGTACATCAAAACCCCATTCAATCTGTAAACCAGATGTTGTCGATACGCAGTCGTCAAGATTATCAGTTTCCCAGACCCCTACTCAGGAAGATGCTCAGCGGGCCCTCAATACATTGCTAGGATTCTATGCTCATGCACCAAATAATGATTTGGTGAGTCACAATGAATACATCGCCCTTACCAAACTGGCCGGGAAAATGCAAGCTCATCCGAACAGAGTGTGTCCCCAAGGCGAAATCTTCCGGGTCGCTGAACAACACGGCAAGATTCTAACATCGTCGTCAGACCAATTCTAAAACTCGCGCGACTCCATCTTGCTGAGAGAAGCAGCATGATAATTCAGCGATTCCTGCGGCTGCGGGTAGCTCGGCTGAGAACAAAGGTTTCTCTCTCTTGAGACACACTAATTTCTCGGCGTTTTATGACCTGTGTGCGGGCCATGCACGGATCTAGGGCCCTGAGGAAGCACCGCCATCACGACAAGCTCCAGGTAATGACGCAGATTCGCCTCTAAATTGGGACTCTCGAATTAATTTTTTAGCGGATAAGGTCCGGCAGATGCTAGATTCGCGATAGATCCCACGACAGCCGTTTCTGGCTGGCGAGGCGCGGAGGACAAGGGGCTGTTGAGGATCAAGCAGAGATCGGCCCATGACTTTCAAACGGGACCAATGGCCTCCCTTTCTTGACGCTTTGACCGTCTTTATGCGTCAAGGCAAGGGCATATCCCAAATGAGCTAGGTCGGGCGGTGTTCGTGCCTTTGACAGGGGCCAGCGTTCACACCTGGTCGTACGTGAGCTGGGCTCGGGCTATCTAGGCTCATTGTGCCCTGTCTTTGATTGGGGGGTATGACGTCCATATTTACATCGAGACTCGCCGGGTTGCAGGCCTGATTAGTAAAATTATCATGTCATTAATAGAATGTGGTTAAGTAGATGGTGATGCAACCAGATTGTTATTTGGGATAGTAAACTACGCACAAAAATATAATGAGAAATTCTCCAGATCTGGTTCATGACTGGTGCGCATGGAAACTGCCTCTACATTTTTGCTTCGGCCCGTACACTTCAACGACCGCGAGCCGCTCAACCCGACACAAATATCATGCAGGTCCATAGTTTTGGGGGTCGAGGGGATTTTTATCCTTGTATTCAAGTTTCTAGGGGTACCGTCTAGTGCAGGCGCTCTGCCAGCAGGGCCTCGACGCCGCTTTCGGCCAACTCGGGCATCAGTCGTACGACTACCAGGTCAACCAGGCTATACATGAGGTGCTTGTTACAATAGCTATCGCCCAAAACGTCGAGACTCGCCTCCATTTCCCTCACCATTTTCTCCCATCCTGGCCCAAAATATGTCTCCCTGATCCCCGTAGGAACGAGATTGAGGAGAGCCTCGGCACATTGTCGGCGAATGGCGAGGCTCTCACTAGCATCGGGAGCTAGACGTGGTGGAGCCAGCATGTTGTTCGGAAATAGGACGGTACGAGTCATTTTCAGAAGCTCGGGCAGCACGGTAGGAACCAGAACGTGGGTGCGTATTGCATGTGAAAGAAACCTGTCAGCAAAGGCAAAAGCGAGCCTGTTAGCTAGCGATAATTTATATATTCTGATAGTGAGAGAGCAGCGCCGCCTATTTTCAAAATTCTTACTCCGGAGAAATTTAGCCTAGCAGACTTTCATTCCAATGAAAATATAGTAAAATTAGTGTAATTGAAACGTGATTAAGCACACATTTGATTTTAGCCCTTAGAGGCTATATGGGTCTTATGACCTGTCTCTGAAGTAATGTGACGAGTCACTATGAGAAAGTGTAAAAAGAAATAATATGTAAGACTAGCCGCGGCCTTGAAGTTGGTGATGGGAAGTTTTGGGCTGCGCCGATGATTAAAAGAGGAAAGATGTGAACTTACTTATCAAATATCCCGTCAGTTTTGCCAATTTGCCCAGGCCCGGTAAGAGTAGCCCATTGAAGCATTGAAAAAAAAGCAGCTAGCCATGGCATGCGCACATCTAAGTCAATAAGTCTAGCAGCGCAAGTCCAGATCTTCATGGTCACTATCGGTTGCTTCGATGATACTTGCTGGTATTGTTGGTGGGGAGCTTTAGACATATCTTTATGGTAAAGATTATTTTTTCCCGCTTCTTGGAACATCTGTCTATTCCGTGACGGAAGAGATGATGCAGATGACATGGTGTGAAAGAATAATCGGACCATGGTAAACGCTAAATATCCACATTGAAGAAAAGCCCAAAAATGTTTCTGCAATTTTTGACGAGCTCTATAGTTAATCGTGTCTTTTTCTGCAGCCTTCGATATGAACGGGTTTTCATTCCCTGAGGTTGTCTGCTCGTTTCGTTCTCGTACATTGTTGGGAGGAATTCGTGGCTTTAGTAAGCCTGCAAGCTTTGCAATTCCTTCCCATAATTGCCATGGCTCAGCTGCTCTTTTTCCAATCACACCTAGCAGAGTTTCTGATACTAATTCACTAACAATGCTGACAAGGCAATCATTTTCAAGGTCTTCTGTGGGTAGAAGGAGGGCCAATACTCCCTGGCTCAAAAGTTGCCGATAGGCCGACTCATTTTCTGCCTGACGGTGTGCCGATGATTCTTCTACTTCGCCAGGGACAGGAGAAAGGGCGGGAAGTGGTGTTAGTGAGTGGTAAATTTGTCGTGAATTTTGAGATATAGGGGGAGGATGAAGAGGCAGATACGATATTCGATGAGCTAAAGTATCTGGTTAGCTGGAAAAAAAGCCATGTACGGGTTAAAGTTACCTTGAATATGAGCATCTAGAAGTTCAGGAATTTCGTCAAATAGTAAACTCTCTAAATCAACCTTCCGTAACCTCTGTTCAAGAGCTCTGGTGCAGTGCGCAATGATCTTCACCAACTCGTCAACAAAGGTTTGATCAGGAGTAATCTTGTGGTACCACGTCTGCACATACTCGCGAAATAAAATGGCAATACACGCATATAGTTGGAGATCTATATCATTGCTACTGGTTAAAGGCGGAAGTATTTCGTTGATAGGAGCCGGTGGAGAACAACGATGTTTATCACCAAGCTGTGAGCAAAGTGTGCGGCGCACAAAGAATAATGTAGCACGGTCAGATGGCAAATCTATAGAGGTTGTTCGTTGTGCGGTAGATGGCGTCCTCGATAAGGGATCGCAAGATGGAGGTAATGAAGGCTCGTTGTTAGCCACTGTTGATGTTTTAAAGGGGTCTTGGGGACGTGACATTGGGCTGCCAGAATGCTATTGGCATAAGACACCAGGCAGTTGCTCAGAACATCTCTTGGATATAAAGAAACCTTCGTTATTAGTCGTGTTGTCGTAGAGCAGCAAATTGAGTCTGCTATCGAATGAGACCATCCCACTCATAACTATATTGCGATTTCATTTGCCATCACATGCCCGATAACACGCTAAGCGCTTAACAAGTTCTTTGCCCCAAACTGATGCATTAAAGTCAAGCAGTGTTTTATTTTCATTCATTAATAGCAGTTAGTTTGATTGGATTCAAGGAATCTTACAATATATCGTTAATTAATAATGAAGTTTTTCTGAGAAAACAGATGATAAGTATGACGCCTAAATAGAAATCAATTCAACATATTGAAATTTCATTTCTGTAATTCACCCATAAAAATAATGAGTAAATTTACATCCACATCTCAGCCGATCCTCATTTTTAAGTATCAACTTAGGGAGTGACTCACATAATTCTATTATTCATTGATACCATTGTCTTATGGACAATTTGCATTGTGCATATACTGGGAATGGCCCTCACTGTCTATGAGAACACAGGTTGAATTGATTATTAAAAATACTCCAATGTAGCTAGTCTCTATCACTTAGATTCTAGAAGACCTCTATAGCCATAGACTCAGATAGGATTATAAAATAAACCTAATCTAATCTAAAATCTAATTTTATTGTGCATTAGGCGGTCCGATCGTGCTGAATCTAAACCAATTATCTTCTACTTCGAATATAACATGTTTCCAAACTTAACTTAAAAGACCAGCCTGGAGGAAATAACACTGCGTTCCTCGATTTCAGAATCGATTTATATCCTTTTCAAGTAACTTTGATAGTCTCTAGCTTAGTACAAGTGGCATCAGCGAATGCAGTCGTAAAATAGGTATCTAATTTAGACTTATCGCTCAATTTCACTCCAAAACACTGGCAGAAGACTATCCTGCTAGATTCTTTCCACCCCAAACCTATCTGGGTCCGACATTTGTTAAGTTTGATCATGGTCAGTTATGCAAAATGAGATGCAGCACTATAAATGGAGTTCAGCCCAAACCATCCATTTACTCCTCTTTTATGTCTCATGCTCAACCTATCCACTGATTTTCCAAGCTTTCAGAACCATATGTTTTCTAACGATGACTCATCTCTGTCGAGCTTCCAGCTTCCAGCTGCAGAGGCGGGACGCATTGTAAAAGTCACCAATTGAGGTAATAAATTCCTGGCTTCCTTTACATTCTCTATTTTCCTTTTCTGCAAAATTTTATTCCTGTTCCACTAAAGGTGTTGTTGCCGATATCCGTGCCTACATCATTTTTACATTAGAAGCCAATACATCAACCTTAACTCCACGTTGCACCTCTTTCTTAAGAGCTCAGGCATTCTATCGCATTTTACTCATTGAGTTTCATTTGGAAAGTTTGTTGAGCCCTTATGGGTGGCGGAATTGTTATGCAAAGAGCTACGAGATAACTTGAACAATCGTAAAGCGACTGAGAGTATTCAATAGTCTGACCATAAGCGGTCATTTATAGACGGGCCCGAAATAGTCTAGGGCACATTTACTGATCGTGATCTCGTGAAAATGAGTAAATACTCGATTGCTAGTCTCTAAATATCTTCATGTGACGGATTCGACCAAGTGCGAGCCAATCAAATTTCTGACGGCTCTGTCATCGGAGTTCTCAGTTATTTTTTTAAAATTGAATAAACTATTCCTGATGCCTTAATCCTAATACTCGTACTCGTACTGGATACTTTTTTTAAATTTTCAGTCCTCAGACTGTAGCGCAAATGCAATTGGTTTCCAGACTATTCAGAATACAACAAAGGCGCCGGTCTGAGTGTCGTGCGGATTCGTCACACAGTTCCCGCTGCCAAGTTGCGGACTAAGATCGAGGGGGGGTTAATTTCTGACCCATAGTCATGTCTCTTTAGTCAAATGCTGCTTTACTGGATACTTAGGCTGCAAATACCCATGTTTTATCAAGATGTGCATATTCTTCAATTTTGGGCTACGGGAAAAGTGTGTACAGGACACTTAAGTTAAATGTCCAGGACCAATTGACGTATATCGAAAATAATAGTTTAGAAGACTGCTGGGTACGGAGACCTGACCGCTCGACCAACGGACGTGCGTCGCGTAACACGCAAATCATTTCACCGATGTTGCAATAGTGCAAAACAGATATTACCTTTCCATGCCACTTACCATGCCGGAGTCCTTCCGTTAATCGCAACCCTTTAGCTCGACTCCTTATGGCCTTGATCAACAAGAATGAACGGAAAAGCTGATATATCATCTAGTCGCATGTACATATGAACAACCAAGCTCTCTCTATCAGTTAAAATCCATTGAATTCTAGTGCATTTAGCTCAGAGGATGATCATGTTGAAAACCTAGGGATTCTACAACTGTTTGGCACGCGAAAACAAGAGAAGTCAAGAGAAGTAAGGGGCGTAAAAACTTATACGTTGGAATCAACCAATATGCAGCTTGACGAGCTAAGAAGAACCATACCGAATCAGATTTACGAAATTAAAGGACCGTCACCTCATGTTATTCGGATATCACAAATGAAAAAGAGCCCTGACCACTGTACGCAACATGATAGTGGCTCAAAGACTAACTCCGATTTTGAAGCAATAAAGATCGCCAAAAAGCAGTGCTCTTCTCCAGTAAATTACTCTCAAACTATAAAGCATGAAAATCAAGGAAGCCAGGATATAGAAGATGCGCCACAAATTCCAAAAGTTCACGAGATTGCAATCGACAGTATCGTGCACTTAAATGAGCATGCTAACAAGTATATAAGCTCGTCCTCAGGGAAAAGGAAGAGAGTTGTGCATTCAGGAAAGCTGAGGAAATTTATCGAAGGCTCTAGCAGATTAAACTCTGCTCCTATGTCGCCCAAAATGACTGCTAAATCTTCTATGTCTAAACTTGCGGTCTCAGACTCAGAAATCTCTAGATCCCCATCTCCTTGGTCTCGAGATTATTCTGTGCCTCAGAATAAAGCGAGTTCCGTTGATCGGATTTTGCCCAGAAGAAAAGGTGCTGACAAATTCAGAGCTAATGATGATGAGGATGACTCTTGTCAGCTTACAAGACAACAAAGATTACATCCAGACTTTAATTTAAACAACGGTTTTCGCACCGGAATCTCCACAGCTAGAAACGAATCTGACTTGGCTAAATCATTCCTTCAGAACTCACCAAAATCTTGGGCTATCAGTCGAAATTACTCGTTACAAAGCCCTCATTCTCCCAATTATCTAAACTATAAAAAAAAGACTGTACCTATACCCTTGCAGCCGACAGAAAACTATTCTGATGACTCTTCTGCCAGTGGTGAATCTAGACCTTCGAATTCGCGCAAAAGGCATACGAATACAAATACTCGAGATCCATCGATTCCATCAGCAAAAATTATACCACACAAAAAACATGTTAACTGCTCAGGCCAGACGCCTCTTGCAGTTGCTTGTGCTCGTGGAAAATTAGAACTTGTTCAAAAGCGATACAAAGAGTGCCCGCTAGATATCAACGTCCCAGATAACGCAATGAATACACCGCTTCATATTGCTAGTCTAGAGGGCTGGACTGATATAGTTAGGTTCTTAGTGGATACGGGAAAGTGTGAGCTAGACTGCGTGAATACAGTAAAAGATACTCCACTGCATGATGCAATCGACAATGGAAACTTTAAGGTAGTCAAAATACTACTAAGTGCTGGCGCAAATCCCAGCAAGCCTAATCAAGCAGGGAACGAACCTCTTGATTTGCTCAATCAACAATTTGGCTCGAAAGGCAAAGAGGTCGAGGTGATTGTAAAAGAAATAAAACAGGCAATTATTTCTGCCCGAGAGAGATTTTGTTTCGATGGAAATAAGAACTTTGAAGAGTTTCAGGTCCTTGAGCGTAATAGCTCTCATACAATTAACATTAAATCTAGCCCTCAGACGACACCGACGCACAATGAGTCCCACAATACTGGCTCAGCCAGTAGAAAAGCTGGCACTGCACGATCCCTGATGAAAACAACAGAGCGTGTTCTCTACCAAGCATTCGATCTGGATGCCTTACGAGTTGCCGCACGAGATGGGGACTTAGCCTCTGTATCTCGAGTGCTGGATGTAAGACCGGGCTTAAGCGACGCAAAAACATTGTATAACGCTGCAAAAGGTGGCCATGACGCCGTTATCAATCTACTGTTTGCACTGGGTGACTTTGAACCCGACCCCGAACCAGCAAATGACTTACCTATTGATTACTCAACCCCAATACTTGCTGCTATCGGCAAGGATAATCATCTGGAGGTCATTAAGTTGTTTTTAGGAAACTCGAGGTTTAATCCATCCCGAAAAATCAAGGGTGAGGCATATTATGATATTGCCAAACGAAGGGGTGGCCCCAATTGCCAAAAAGAGGTAGAACTATTTAAGAAAGCGTTGTATGCATACAAAAAGTCGCATAATCACTTGCGGGACATGGATGATGTTTCTGGAATAGGGTTAACTGATTTAGAAACAAGCTTCAGTTCAAGGAAAATTAAGAGGGAGGATCAACCTGCAAGTAGAGCTCTTAAAAACTTACCAAGTCCTAGGTCTAAATATCCTGAGGATCTCAAACCGCAAACTCGGAGATCACATGGTACATTACACCCCCACGATGCCGAAGGATTCGAAAAAAAAGCTTTCGAGAGATCCCGAGGTGGAGATGATTCTTCTCACATGCCTCTAGAACGTGAAGTCAGCCCTCTAGGGATTTTTAAGCAGAAGTCGCTGTCTCGAAAGTCTGAATCCGACTTGACAACAATTCCTGAAATTGAAACTGCGTTGAAGCCTCGCAGAAAGCTCATGTCTGGAAAGGATATAAAAGATGAAAAAGAACTAGGAAAACAACGAAGAACAACTTCTGTACCGACGACATCCAGCGCCTCTCGGATATGGGCTCGAGAAAAAAATGAGCGGATTCATATAGGCCCAAGATCAAGCTCAAACGATTCTCCAAGTAGTAAAGGGCATAGACAATCATCTAGCGAGCGAGAATCGACATCTGTAAGACAGATATCCGAAGCTGAACCGCATAGGTCCATCTCAAGAGATAAATTGAAAGAAGGTCTTTCGGCCAATCGTAGCGAAGTCCCGGCTAAAAGATTACGAGCAAGTGACCCTCAAACTAACCCGAAAATTTTTGAAGAATATACAGGTGAAAAGTACATTGAAGCACCATCTAGAAAGAAAAGAAAGTTCGGGGGAGAAGTGTTTACTTTTAGCAAATCCAATTCGACAGATTCGTCAGAGAACAATTTAAAGCCTAACGATGCATCTCTCAGAGACCTAGATAAAAGAAAAGGCATAACTAGTCCCGGTATTAAAGTAAAGGAGCCTCCTAATCCAAAATCTGAGAGATCATTAAGTGTGACAAAGCCAGTTATTAACTACGATAAACCCTCATCTAACTTTTCAAAATTATGTGTTGCTCAAAATTTCGATGGCTCTTCTAAGAAGGTGAGTTCTAATGATTATAATACCAAACTTAAAGATCTAAATATCAACGACTCTCAAATACCAAAAAAAGGATTAAAAGATGACAAAGAAACTGCAGATAGAGTTAATTTCAAGCGTGAAAAGTTGCAACTTGAGATAACTAATCGAACTGGAACTAATGAAGCTACTCATCGAGAGTATCCACAACAGAAAACTTCACTTGAAAGATCTAAACATCTCCAGTTTGAAGAATCAGTGAAAAGCCAGCGCCAAGCTATTGAGACGGAAGCTCAAAATCGGGCTGAAGGACAAAAAACCCAACACCAAGATCAAAAGGTGGCGGAGCAGCAGCAACAAAAGGATCTCCAAAAGTCTACTATGCATGAACAGCGCGCTGAACCATCAAAAACTGAGGAAGGATATCAGCGACTATTAATACCAACAACTCCTGTCTTGCTTAAATGGTTCAACCAAACCCCCGATCTAAAAACGACTGAGGTTGCAAAACTATTCAGTGAAATCGCTGGATATAGATATAAATATAATACGGCTGAATCTACCGATAAATTTGATTGTGAAGACGAATGGATGCTTAATACTCACGCTGCTATTCTACTTGGAGAAAAAGATTTACGACTTTCACGATGTAAGGCCCTTTTCTCTGAGAAAGTGCATAACAATTAAGAATTGATACAGACACGGCGTGGGAACGCGTAGTCTTAACGAAATCACAAAAGAGAGGCGTTTGGAGTACGTGCAATGGGCTGTTCCTTCTATTGGACGGAGGTCTACCACGTTTACGAAAGCAGCTACCTCGTGACTCGCGACCTATGTACCAAGTAATCGAGAGAGCCAAGAGTCAATTTCTTGACCTTGATCTATTTTTTGTCAAAGTAAGAAAATTGTCGAATGTTGACCTCAACGAGTGCTAATGGTCACAGGTATCTGAGTTTATGAATGTCGTGCCTGAATTTCCTCATTTGAAAGGTATAGAGATGGCAGTTCTCTACAGGGAAATTTGCATTCCTCAGGAGTCTCAAAATAATCATCTTCCCAAAACGAACTGGCAGCTTGATCCGACAATTAGGACTTCCAATAACCTGATACCATCGCCCAAGTACTACACCGATGGTATTCTAATTAATCAGAAAGGAGATACAACTACTCGTATCTTACGAGGGGCACCACCACCGGATATTCACCCTAGACGAATGGGATTATCAAGGGTGTTCCCTGAAGACTCCGACTACGAAGAAGTGTGCAATAATCGAAGACTGCGTACTTATAGCTCTGACTCGAAGATGCTAATGAATTATCCAACCAATCATTTCCAATCAAATGTCTCTGAAACCCCCATTGAGAACTCCAACGCAAGTGGTACTAGCTGCGACTACTATTCTATCTCAGAGACTAGCACTCTGCAACCAGCGGTTAAAGGAGCCTAGTGAATATGTAGTTCTCACCAGCTCCTTGTAAACCTTTTATCTCAAGTAGCTTTGCCGATTAATAGCCCAATGGGACTTCAATTGCCTGACAACATGGAATACGTTCGGATCTATCACATTATTTAAGCTAATGGGTATTCGAGCGCGGGTGGGTATTTATACCTCACGCTAGTGCAACGTTCTAGGTATCTTTCAATGGAGACAAGAACCCAGCCCGAATAAAAATTTTCGGGTTAGACGCGACATTTGTTTGAAACAATCAGCCCGGCCTCTATCATGTATTTTGACACTTATGTTTGGATCTTATATTAACCTATAGATCGATCATTTTAAGAAAGAATTCAGCTTAAAATATTGGTCCAACATTTGATTTATTTCATCTCGCTTCCCAAAGTAAATCAAGTGGTAATATCTACCAATCCCAAGATACACAGGTTAGGACGAGCTCTTCGTAAAACTTCTCCGCCTAATTTGAAAGTCTATTTGAATGCTATTCACCACTTTTGAACGCACCTCAAATTAATATGAAATTAAATTTACGAGTTAAACTTCCGCATCAGGTGTGATGAATATCTTACATCATACTTCAATGTTTAAAATTGTAATTTGAAGGACGAAAACGGCATAACCACAATTTAGGCTATTTCCACAACTTCATACCAGGATCATTAGATATGAAATAGGTTTAACGTGGCTTACCCATGAAGAGGAAAAGCGCTGCTAGAACTAAACTCAACAAGAATAAGCCGGAATATTTAAGAATGGAGGCTTTTAACTCTATCTCCAGATGTTGAATTAAACTTCAACATAGCATAATACTAAATCAAAATTTTGTATAAGGAAGATGAATCCCATATTGATAAGGTACCATAATATGTGGCAAACTACCTACTATCGATGTTTGACTCTATCCCTTCAGAAATATCTACAGAATAGAGACTGTATTAAAGGTTCACTGTATCTGACAGCGATAGCAGATTCTACGAATGCCTAGTTAACTACACTTAGAATTTTGTTAATGGCTACTTATAGGCCTGAGTAAATTTGCATATTTACCCATCAAAAATATTTTGAAGCGAGATTGGTAATATGAAACTAAAAAGGATTCCTTTCAAGCTGGTGTCAGTGCAATTTACCACATGGGATTAGAGACTATTTATTTCTACTTTGAAATGGACAAGTAACATCGAAAATTAATGCTTTTTCCTGCCATCCAAAGCCTTCATTTTCTAATCTCGCCCCCATAACAATATTTTTAAAGCATTTTTTGACCTACTCATCAAATAATAAAATATTGCTTCTGCCGACTGGGCTATAATAATTTATTAGATGCCATACAGCTTGGATTTTTTAGATTACAGAAATGCGCGTGGAGTTAGTCAGCATATCTGCTCTCCATGTTTAAATACGAAAACTCAAACAAATTACTTTATCAACTGATGAAACAGGCGCAAACTTTGATTCTGGACACAATGCAGAGAATTGTTTTCTAGACTCCATCGTAAACCTTTAGACCTTATGATCAAATTCTTTAGTTTTAATCCATTTATTTATTTATTCACTTTTTGATGGGTTAACTATTCAGATCTGAATAGGTGGACTAGGTGAAAACGATGGTTGATTATTACTTGACCCAATCCCTAATGATTGGGTCCTTGTTGGTAGACTGGATTACAGATATACTACTGCCTAAGGCATAACAGACATATACTCTACAATATGTTATAGCTAAACTACATATACATAATTAAGTAATAACAACACTTTTAAATTGAAAAGAATACTTAGAAGTGTAACAGTTAGATAGCATCTCGACTTACTACTATACTTATGATGACTTATGAACTAAAGACCTCTTGGCCGGCAGTCAATCATGTGACCACTGATCTAGCCACTGCCAAATCTTTCATCTGCGGATTTTCATTTCAAAACATAGTCATGTGATGTAATTTTAGGATTTAGGCTGTAGAGATTGACTTGCTTCAGGAAATATTAGGCCAAGTTCATTATTTTTAAGGGTTTAAGGTTCACGTGTTATGTAAATGTATCACACCCCCGCTGAGCCATTTCCAAAGATCAACTGTGTAAACTTTTTTCAAGGTTAATTTAGTTAATTGATTTATTCTTGTTCAAAGTCTTATTCGGTATATAAGTTATAGAATCACGAAGACGGTGAGCCGGACAAAGAATGGAAAAAGCTTTCAAGCTACAAAACCCATAGTTACGCTACGATCGCACATCTCAGCTTCATGCCGAGGATAAGTGTGTGTTTTTTATTGTACTACTTGAGTCTATGACTATCTAGCACATTGGGCTCCTCTCTGACCCAGGCCACACCTTGTACAGTGCTCCTATCCTCTTTTGTTACTTGAAAGATCATTGATATATTCCCCTTGATGAATAGCCATTCAGCTCAGTTTTTACCCGTGGAATTCAGCCACCTTTTCCACGGAACCTTCTACCCAAAAAAAATAAAAATGGTAGCAATGGAAACTGCGTGCGCGGGAAAAAGTCTCAAAAAACCTGCAGCCCCAGCCAGGCGAGGCCTAGACACCGGGACCACATGAGGTGCGCATATTCATCTATATCTCCCTTCTTTGTAACAGTCGAGGCCGACTTGATCCAATCCACCATCTCCGTATCGGGTGCTGGGTACGCTCCGGAAACTCATCGGATGGCTTTTCCTCCATGATCAAGGGTTGGTGATGAGTAGGGCTCCGACCCTACCATCTGATCTGATCGTGGTTAGCTTCATGATAGTGGTGATAGTGGAATGTGTTGAGAGATGAAGACGATACAGACCGCGAAAGCGATTGGGAATCCTCTTCGAAGTGAGGACTTTGTTACTCAATCTCGGCTCTGCAGACTCTACAGTGAGAGCTGGAGGTTCGTAGGGGACACCACTGACAGGTGTTGAGAATAGTCCCCCTCGAACTCTTGGTTATTAGCGCTGTTGAAGACATTTTTATCATTCATCAACAGTCATATCATCTGTATCCTCAACTATACCCTTAGGTATTCACCTAAGCCCAAACAACGGTCAAACCACAACACTTAAGCCCTATGTCGCCTGTTGGCTGATTTGATTTTTTGTCCTGCTTAGGTGAAGTGCTATCAGGCACATTTAATTCATCTCAGGCACAGGTCACATGATGTACAGTGCTCCTATGCTTTTTGGTTCCGAAAAAACTCCGATATAATGCCTATGACGGGTACTCAATGAGTTCAATAATTACCTATATAATTCTACACCCTTTTGTTAGGAGCATCTGATTCATTTCGTTGGGTAGTATCGACAGACGAAGCTTAATTATGCGCAGTATCTTTTCTTGTTTTGAACTACAGATCGAGAGATTGATTTGTAAGTATAATTATACGATAAAATATGTTCTGTTTATTACCGGTGAAGTTCTATAGTTGCTAGTTTACAATATCTTTATACTAAACAATAATGTAATAATGAAGTGATCCTTGACAGGTCAGGACTTTAAATGATAAAATTGAATCGGTTGTGAATATTCTTAAAAAGGTGTTCACGTTCATGTAGAAGTTTTGTAGAAATATTGTTATATTCTCCAAATTCCTTGAAATTTGAAAAAGAATTGATATTGGGAAAAATATTCCCGCGACTAAAATTACAAAGCATTGGCCTAAAAACCGGCTCCCAAGTAATCCCAAAATTCATTAATATGCTGCTCTGGTCCTTATATCCTGTGACTATTAGGACATATTCTATTTGAGGTGGCTTTAGACTCACCGATATTTTTCTTTCGATTTCTCTGACAGAACGATCTAACTCCCCCGCTATCATTTGTTTCTTGTCTGATGGTAGAAGTGTATATCTCTCACAAAGATCACCATCAATAACACCCTTCACTGGTACGTAATAGCTTCGATACATCAAATGATCCCTTCCAGCCAGCGGCGTGTCCTCTGACCGCAAATGCTGCTCGAGCGTCTGGAAGAAATCGACATCCTCACGACTGACAAAGGGAATCAGGATGCCAAGGGTTCCTTGTAACCCACCCCATAGTAGGCAATCTCGTCCGCCCGCAACTAGATTTGTTTTCTGAATACTCATTGGAATATCCTGAGCAAAAAAGTGAGCCATAAGAGTTAGTCGGTGAGGTGATCCTTGGAGATAAGAACGTTCATGTAAGAGGTGCGCACCAGAGCCCTCTTCGTCTGCTTCTTCACTTGCCTTGGAGGGACAGCGAACAAGCCATATGTTGCCGAACTTATCTCCACCTGCAACCGTCTCGTAGTCTACCATTGTTGTGCATGTAGTAAATCGAGAGATGGTGTCATCAACGAACGGTATTAACTTGTTCTCCTGATATTTGTATACTACCATAACGACACTGTCTTGAACATCGCTGACAGAGATACGGCTGCCTTGTGTTTGCAATCCAACGATTAAGTTTGGTACTACTTCTGCCTGTGCCTTTCTAAGCAATTGCCGCATACCTAGATCGTATATTCTTAGGTCACGTCCTACTCCAGCTAGAAGTCGGCCCTGGAAGCCGAGCAAGGCCATTGCTGGCTCCTCCACTTTGGTTTTGTGGATAAACTCGATTTCTTTACCGTTCTCATGGAACCGGTAAACGTGAAGGTAACCTGCGCTCGAATTGCGTGGATTAACTATCATATCTTTCCCAGTACCTACTACCAAGAAAATCTCATCATCTTGACTTGAAAATGTTATAGTAGCCAAACTGACTGCTGCTTCGTTTTCTTCAAGATCTATCTTCTGAAGTACCTTCTTTTCAGTTATGGGATCTACTACAGATATACATGACGACCAGTGACCTTTACCTCTTGGGTAACCAAATTGATCATGAGGCAAGACTGTAGCATCTCCGTTTGTTACTGCTGGATCATTTTGGAGTTTCTCTCTTGTCGCAGGCGAAAGAGTGTTATTATCTGATTCAATAACATAGAATATTGGATGCTCAGGGTGTTTTACAAATCTTCTTGGTGTGTAAGTGAGCGAGATTGACTCCTGTAATAGATTTTCCGTGATTTTCTCAATAGAGAATATACTAAAGTAGGTCAGTAAATGTGAAGACTGTACAAATATGATTGTAGATGGGTTTGTATGCCTCAGAAGGAACAATTGGATTTATAATATTTGATCCTCAAGGTCACGGAGACGTAGGAAATATTTAACGAATAAAAATCATCACAGCATTATTTTAGAGTTTGAGGAGAATAAGACTCTTACCGAAGATTTTGACCCTGGATGCCTACCATTCCTTCAGTACATTGCTCACTACTAAAATTCCAGCCCCACTCGAGGCCAGGGTAATTTAGAGGTGTCAGCATGAAACCTTTCGATACTGGATCTGAGTATCCAAGCCAAGGTCTTGAACTGAGAGCTAGAACCGCTGTCTGACCTTGAACGGATACTCGGAACAGCTTCACTGGCTTTGGGCCAAGAAATCGAGTTCTGGTATCAGAAAGTTCCCCTGTCACTTCATCAAGAACTGTTCTCAAGTAGACTCCAGAGTAGAGTCCTATGTGTAGATAGAGGGTTGAGCCACCAGATGATGAGTCTGACATTGCCATTATAGATAGGGCGGATGGAGCTGAAGTGAGCGCTTGGACAGATTTGTTCTCGAGCGTAGATTCAGGATCGAGACTGAGTATGCGTACAGTAGAGTCGTCGCAGCCTACGGCTAGAAATTGGCTTCGAACACGTCCTTGGGGTACCTCTCCAAGGCTCAGGCAGGTGACTGTACCACTCATTTCTTTTTTTTCATCATACTCAGCTAATGAACCATCAGAGTCCATTTCAAAGTAAACTATTTCGCCTGAGCTGAGCGCAACAGCAACTTGCTGTTCGTTTGTTGTAGCAGCAACAATGGAGCGGTGTTGTGGAGCGGCCCATTCGTGAACACGTCGATCAGCTTTAATATGTCTTATGCCCTTAGGGTGAACCTGAATTAGACCGTCTTCACCAAGCTGTTGCACTGCCATAGTAGAGGCGCTTGATAGGAATCCAGTTTCAGTTACTTCTTCTACTGTTTCGCCGATACTAAGTACTAATGTTCCGTTAGAGAAAGAGAGTATGATATAAGCATCGAAAGTATCATTTCGGGTCAACTTTGTTGTCCACACAGCAGAGGGTACGCCAGGCAGTTCTGATTCGACTATCTCACTCACTTCAAGTCCATGTTTCAGCGTTCTGAATGAGCTGTGGGCGCCAGTACCACTTAAAGAATAGATCTGGGGCGCATCCTCCTCAGTCAAGTTAGCCACCTTGCAGTCCATCATTGGTGTCATGGAATCAATGCTTTCAACTAAGCTCAGATTTTCTGCAGGTCGTGGATGAAAGTATACAGGACTGTAGGGCGCAGTAGGGTCAGTAGGGTATTCGTCACTCGTAAATTCTACTTCTTCATCGTCATCGCCAAGCTTTTCGAACTGGTAAAATTGATGGTTGCCAAATTCACTTGCAACGTAAAGGAAACCACTTTTGAGAATACATAAGCTGGAAGCTATGGAGACAGTGTCAAAGTACTTGACCTTGAGGCGCTTTACTTCTCCAGTTGGCTGGCCAGCGTCATCCTCGACCATCTCAATCGTGACCTTAAACAAATCACCGTCCTCCGTTTGTAGGAGAAAGAAGAATGCACCCGCTGCGCCCTTGAGTTTGTGCATCACGCCTGCGATTATCGATCGTTTCCTTTGAGGATCCTCGGTCGCTCCTCGTCGACGAGGAATAGGAACTCTGTAAGCTTCTTGGTTTGAGTGACGATATGTAATATTGTCTTCACCGCATACCAACACACCGCTTGGGCCATCTGCGCCTCCAGGAACTTGAAATAAAATAGTGGCGGAGCGGTCAACAGTATCTGACCATTTCCTCACGACATGGTTTAGACCGAGATCCAACTCATAGTACACTAAGAGTTTTTCAGTCTCCTCATATGCCTGGCCAGTTGGATCCTGATCCGATTCACTGTAGTCAACTTCCAACGCAGCAAATACTGGGTTTGCATAGCCAACGTCGAGAGCGACAAGTGCAAAGACTAATGTCTGTGCTTTGTTTGCTTCGAGTGGTGAAGAGATGGTGAGCTCTGCCTGAGAGTTTCTGTTAAGAACGTAAACCAGCTTATTCTTTTCAACGGACGATATCAGGCAAGCTCTGCCTTTAGGATCTACAGCTAGGTACTGCCCTGGGACAACTCTTCTGACCCCAGATTTTCCGAAGGTCTCCAAGTGTAACCTGCTAAACTTGTTTTGAACGGGTAAAAATTCAACGATAGCGATACGGCCCGAGTCAGAAGTTATTATTATATAATCTGTAAAAACTTTTAGCCTAGAATTTCAAGAGACCCTAAACCTCGTACTGAAAAGCGTTGTGAAATTTTTTGATTATGTAAATCGTGCTGCCATCCGTGCTTCAGATCACTAAATGAAGTTCAATGTGACGGATTATTGACTTACCCTTGTTGCTTCCTGCCAAACGGAAAGCAGCGATAGCTCGAATGATGCCAAATACATCGTGCGATAGAGCTGTGGTTATCTTCCCTTGAGATGGATCGGGACGATGAAGGGTAAGTCGAGAACCTGATGCAGTGACTATTTGCTGTTCCTTAGTGCCCGCAAACTGTCCAATTATGGCTTGTGTGATAGCAGTAGGTGGTTGAATCGTCAAGCTGTACATAAACATCGATGAAGTAGTAGCCATCTTGACAAAGTCACAAGACTTAGACTGGTCTTGAAGTGTGTTGTCAGCAAGTTTAAAGACTTTATTAAAATCTGAATAATAGAATGAGCTGGCAGGGCCGGCGTGTCAATCTCTTGATCATGTTGACTTGTAATAATTTTGTTGTGTAAACTACGACGGGTGTTAGAGGAGAAATAAATTTTCAATGCGGCCTTTATCCATTATGAGCCTTTCCTTATTTGGTTTAGATCGAATTGTCAACATATACCATGCTCATACACATCACAGCTTCTTGAATGTGTGGAAGAAATGCAGCATGATATGCTGAATCAGGTATCTCAAATTTGTATAAGGTGCACTTACATGTTAGAAAATATGCATAGAACGCCTCATACGAAGTTATTATTTGGCCCCCAAATTCGAAAAATTACTTTCCGAGCCTTGAAGCCATATTCGCAAAACTTAAGAACCGATCAATTCAGGCAACGATGTAGAAGAACAACATACTCTGTTCCAAGCTGTACGAAATATGCGCCGATTTATACGAAATTCCAAAACTCTAAAACCCCAAGTGAAAATGAAGAAAGACCGATCATGAGATCAAATAACCTATTCCATCCATTTTCACGTTCCCCAAGTCTTGAGATAAAGAAGCGGGCTGCAACTATGAAAAAAAATGCCTATTGTCCACATCCAGATCACAATCAGACCCGAATTCCTACAAGTCCAAATGACCCGGAATCTAGAAAGGTTACCTCAGGCTCGCTCGCGCCGGCTCATGTCAACTTTGAATGCCCAGACTGCGGCATTCCAGTCGCATGCTCTGAGGAACACTGGGCTGATGACTACGAGGCACATTTGGAGATTTGCGATACGCTAAGGCAAATTAATGAAGATGACCATGATCTGAGATCAGGGCGTTTCTTTCCTGAATTTACATATCCTACATACCAAATTGAAGAGGCAATGGTCAACATGACCAACTGGGATACACTCTTGTACTCCAGGAACTTTAACGCCATAAATAATGAGAGAAGTCTGAGGCAAGCCACAAAACTCTTAACCTATCCCATCACAATCGGTAGCATCCTACACGAACTTAGCCCGTATAATATTAAAAGAGGTGGAAGATTAACCGTAGAAGGTTTGAAGAGTTTAAGTGGTATGTCTCCTGAATTCTAAATGTATCAATCTGATGTAAGGAAGCCTTAAGGTATAATCTTCATCCACCAAAAGCAGGTGCTGGTCCAGGAATCAAAGGACTTCGGCCAAAATCACCTCCAGTCAGGATATTTATCCTCGGCGCCAGAGCAGAGTCATCTCTCCCACGAGACGTCTGGATGCAGCTAGCTTATTTATTTCCTCGTACTGTCTTTCACATAATTTTTATTGGCCCAGAGAGTATGACGAACCGAGACGACGAATTTCCACTACCCGAGAGGACTCCCAGTAACCCCTTTGGTGTAATTGTAGAAGATCGAATCTCCCCACAATTGAAGGTTAGCACGTATGTGGAATATTACCAAACCCTTCATAATGCAGGTCATTTCTATCCTTACGATCCTTATTTTGATTGCTTTATGTTATTTCACCCCGGTCTTGGTCATCCTGCAGGGTCTTACGAATGGCAAAAATCATTACCACTTCTACTTGAAACCAAGGTGCCTATACTAGCGACAGGCTACACACAATACGACATGGAGCGAGATTACGATTGGGTAAAAAAAAATTCACACGGTGAAGTTGATATTTTAATGGAACCGGGTGAGAACAGATTTAGGAGCCTAAGATGGGACATCAATGATCTAGATCCTCAAGATATAAGTTGTGGGAATTGGGGAGTTTGGGGTTTCAGAGGTAAACGATATGAAGCTCAACGAAAAAATATTGAAGTCTAAAAGCGAATTTCTAAACAACTCATGTTTTGTGGTCAACTTATAAAGCTATCTATCAACCCAGAGATATCGTGCTGGAACTGTATATGTATGTAACATGTATAATCTTAATAGACTGGTCAAATACCACTGCAGCTTAAACGTTTTAATTACCATCTCAAACTACTAGTCAGCATATGACTCGACGGTAGTTTGCGTAATAAACCACCGCTTAGTAATCCGGTTCAATAAAATAAATAAACTATTCAACAAGAAAAAAACATCATTTTTGCCAGAAAGCTGCGCAGCGTTCCACGCTGCCCGTATCATCAAATTGACATCGTGATTATTATTTTTACATCTTTATTACCCTCCGACCATCTTTTCGCTTTCCGTGCTCCAACATGGCGAGTGTGGGTGCTGGTATGGGTAAATCCAGCGGTTTCGACGCGTCGCAAAATGCGACAATGGCCTCAACCAACAACGGCAGCGGAGCGCAGACAGCTTCAAATGACAAGAACCTTGAAATCCAAGGGAAACTATTGAAACAGGTTAGACTAAAAGTGATGGGAGAGATGGATGAGGAGGACCTACCCTCAATGGAGGACGTTAACGAGGCCGTGAAGGCCTTCAACGCGCACAAAAGGGCCTGGACGGAAATATCCCAGAAGAAGTCTCCTGTCGAGGAGATGATGATGGCTTTAGAGGAAGTTGTGAAGAAAAGCCTCGCGGATCCCGCTCGAAAAGCTGCTCCAGCAGTGGTTTCGGGCGCGCCGACACCGAGGAGTTACGCTTCGGTCGTAGCTCCGCAAATGGCGAAAACGGCGGTCAGAATAAGAATCGACGGCGCACAAAACTTGCAGCCACAAGAGCTGCTAACTAAGGCACAACAACATATCCAAGGCGCATACGCGATTCGCCAAATGCGAACTAACGACACTGAGGTGTTCGTCCAGTCGGCGTCCCAGAGAGACTTGGCGCTAAACATGCGACAACCAACGGATTTCAAAATTCTGCGGCAAGATTTCCCAGTCGACGTCGACGGTGTCCCGTTGCGGACAAGAATTGAAGGGGGCAGAGATGCCAACAATTTTGCCATCATCAGGGAGATAGAGACGGCAACAAAGGCAAGGATTCCAGGCTTAGTGATAAGTCGTATAAGGTGATTACACGACGGAAAGGAACACCAGCGGTCAAAGAAAAATGGCCGCACTCGTGGATCAATTGTGGTAAGCCTCCCATAGGAGGCAATGCAGACGGAAGTGGTCCGAAACGGCCTAGTTATGAACGCCATGCTCTACACCGCGCAGGTGTGGTCACCATGGTCCCAGCCAAAGCAGTGTTACAACTGCAGCCAGTGGGGACACACGTAGGCGTCTTGTGGAAAGGCAGCCAGGTGCGGTGAGTGCGCTGGCGCTCACCAAACTCGGGACTGTCCGAGGAAAAGGGTTTCTTGTGCGAACTGCGGGAAGGAACATCGTTCATGGCAGAAAGCAGCGTGTCGGACCTACCAGGTCTACAAGGGAAGTGTGGAGAAGGCTCGGATGGAGCTATTATCGAGGACGGCGGAAATATGGAACGAGAAACCTACGGTGGCGCCAACGCGAACAGTCGAAACGACTGATGATCAAGGATTCACTTTGGTCACCAGTAAAAAGGCTGAAGTACTCAAAAGAGGGCCGGGACGACCACGCAAGGTAGTCGAAGCCCCAGTGGCACCAACAATCCCCGCCACATCAGCACCACCATCGAGGGAAACTCTTCGAACACTTCGAAGACCAACGCCGAGTGAGGAGGTGCCTTCTCCATTTAATTTCTCATGAAGTTAGTCTGATTGAAGGGGGAGTTAACGAATTCTGGGGAAAGTTTAAAAAATTATGGTTGAGAGGAACGTCCTCAGCATTAAGCCGGGTCGGTTCAGAGTGGCGGGACATCGGGTTTTGTTTGTTGAAAGCTTTTTCCCTTCTTAACATGGCTTACCGTCTTCATGGTTCTGTACATAGATACCGCATAGGACGTTAAACTAGAACAATGAATGAATGAAACTATTCAATTATCTTAATTTGGCGCCTTCAGGCCTATGCTGGTTTCTCGAAATACATTTAATTTATGTAGAATGACTCAATTTGGAATTTGAGGCACTTACACTCAGATTTCAATTGCAAACACCACTCTAGGTCAAACATTAAAGCTTAAAACCTCTTCCGTCTTTACCCGCCACTGGGAAAAGCGTGTAAACCTCATGGTTAACCGAGTTTGATTTAGTCTCCCAACAAATACGATGTCACCGCGAGAGAAAGCGAAGTCTACATTTTACTGGATTAAAACAAGCTATCTCCTGCCCCAGGTGAAATGGGTGTCCAAGCTAGCCATAATTTTTTTGGGGGAACGGCCTACATGGTGTACCACTACATCATCCAGCAGCGTCGGTGTTTATAGTGTCGCTAGCACTCTCGCAGTCGAAGCTTTGGCTCAATTAAAGCTCAGTTCGTAAAACTCATTGCCAAAATCCCAAATTTCACGCCTTTCGAGATTGTACCCATCCTCTCAATCATCTTACAAACCTGTCCAGATCTCTCTCACGCCCATTTCAAAGAACTGTCTTCCAGATTTGTGCTACAGGCTTTGTTTCCTCCATCGGATGTGAATATCGGCGTGGGCGTGTATATGGTGGTAAGCTGAGGCCAGAGGAGGTTGAAGAGAGGTGTGTTCATTGAAAGGATGATGTACTAAGTCATACCTGTAAGCTTGATGAGAAATTCGAGACATTATTTCTGCGTGATGGTGCCTGTGAACAAGATCTAGGAATATGGCGATCACTAGAGCGCTTGCAAAAGTTTTCTGGCCTTGTAAATATTTATTTGTCCAAGTTTACCTATGATTAAAAGAGGGGTGCTTTCCGAGAGAATGATGCATTTGTTCCATACAGTACCAAAACTCTAGATCTTAATTAGCCTCATGTAGAAGGACATAATGAAGAAGTTCAATCTGTTTGGCCCCAAAGTGTAAAATTTATACCTTACATGTATCCCTGTGATACAAAAATTGGTTCCTGGGCGATCGGGCGAAAGAGACAACTAGCTATACAGTAGATTCATGAAATTCATATAGCATTTGAAGGCTACTTTCCTCTTTCAAAGATATATCCTAGCATTGAATTTCATTGACTCTAAAAGAGCCTCGAGCTGGTTAATTTAATTTTATTGGCCATCAACACTGAAATCTCTAGTTAAGTAGCTACTTCGAGACGCGAATCATATAATGGTGTTTTGTAGCAATTGTGTTTTGTTTTGTTTTGTTCATTAACGTGCTAGGTTACATGGCTACCGTTGCACTCCTATTGGAGCTTAAGCACGTGTGGGGTTGGGCCGGATCAGGTTAACTACCGTGAAGTACAGATAAACCTCGTCCCACTTTAATGACTGGACCACCTCAGACTTCACCTATGTGTTGAATCATACCAAGCCTAGCCGTCCAGAAACCCGCTGTATACACGCCGTAGCGCGATTTCCTCCTCAGCCTCGGCCACCACGCGCCCGAGCCCTTGACATCCTCATTGACTCCGAAATATAAACGCCGTCCAAGATCTCATCGTTGCTCTAGCCTTGCACCTTCATATCGTACCGTTGGGTTGTTTTCGTCATTGGGGATTTGTGTAATCCCCTCGGTGTATCTTCCCTCTTCTTCCTCCTTTCTACACGTCCAGTTTCCATCATGACTTTCCTCATTAGGGCATGTGTAGGTAGATGATCGGACGGGTATGGAGGTAGGTCGCAGGTGTAGGATCGATTGAGAAATGCTTCGTCGCAAGTATAAAAGAAGTTTAAGAGATGTCGGATGTTTGAATACGACCCCCAGATAGACCTAGGCCCATTCGTGAATCGTATGTTGGCGGTGATGACTTTTTGTTCGACGTTGTTCCGGCTGTGAAATCTCTGCCGACTGATTTTCCGACCAAAATATCGAGTGCAACTCCTTCAAGTCGAAGATCCATCAATTAAAATTCATCGCACCCTTTTTCGTGACTGAATCTCGGCTCTGGGAGAATATTTCACTCCCAGGTTCGTAGAGGACACTACTGACAGGTGTTCAGCCTTCGTCCTCCGCAGCAATTGTGTTGGCGGAGTGTTGAGAAAAAATCTTGAGCCCTGGTTGACGCCTAATTGCTTATATATGCTGATTTTGCGAGGGCAGGCATAATCACTTAATGAGCTGGCTCCTTTTGTGTAACTCCAACAGTACTCGGCAACACTTGAGTTTCAATTTTGTAGTTCTCGTATTTTTTGGGGGGGGGGGCCGTTGTTTATTGTGACTGCCTTGAAACGGATAGCAGGCTCGGGGAGCGTCTGATTGTGCAAAGTATTGTTCACACCGTTGCCAACGTAATCATAGAAGATCAAAATCGCATTTAGTGATTACAATTTCAGGTGTGGTGACCATGCGATCGATATGGCTGTTGTGTTGAGGATAAGTCAACATCTAGGTCAGCTAGATACTTTTGCGTTGTCTTGCCTCCATCGAACTGGAATCTACGAGTAGGAGTAATTGGATCGGACTCTAAATTGAGTATCCCCCGATATCTAGGGTGATATTGGTAATTGCACGCTTGAATGTAGACGCAGGCTGTATAGTCTATCCGTTGGCTACGGCCAAGTTACGAAGTGCAAAGTCTTGCGCATGTTCGACTGGATAAAAATGCGGCAAGAAAGACTAATGAATGATCGATATTTTGTTGGACTCATTGGTAAAATCTTGAATAAAATTTCCATAAGGATATGTGCTTGTTTTGATGTCGATAGAGGTCGCCAATATAAGTACCATATCGTTCGTCAACTAACGATCCTTTCCTCGGAAACATTATTTCGGGCACCAAAATTATCTAAGCTGGGCAGTATCAGGAAATCGATAGGTAGGGGAAATTTTGCGTACAGCTACTCGCGTTACAACGCCTGACTAGCATTCAGCAATCTACATGTCTTCGTCCGAGTTAGCTTTCACTACAAAATCCGACACACTCCTAAACTCCGAAAAATCAAGCGATAAACAGGAAAATTTGCGTCAGAATCGCGGCAAACGAGAGAAAGATCGTAGTGTCGCTATATCAAGGGCGCTCTCGAAGCTTTTGCGGCATGCAGCCCATGATGCTGGTGTTCAGCTTGACAAGGAAGGCTATGCAAGATTGGACGACGTCGTAAGTCTCTCAAATCCGATAGGACAAACTACAGGCACATGCGTGATAAGAAAGGATTAATAGCAATCACAATTTGAGTTCTAACCTGAATCTTGTTCCTTATTCTTTTCCACATCTTGATTGACGCCGTGTCGTGATAGTTAGGGTGGCAGCGGATCAAGTCTCTCAACGTTACCTACTCGGATATACAGAGCGTAGTTAGTGAGAATGACAAGCAGCGCTTCTCAATGAAGCTAAACCCGACTCTACCCGAAGATCCAGATCCCCAGTCAACAAACTGCTCTAACTGGCTGATACGAGCCAATCAGGGACATAGTATCCCTGTGGAATCTTCTTCGCTTTTGACACCTATTACAATGGATTCCGGCAATGTTCCCGATGTCATCATTCATGGCACCTACTTTGCTTTTTACAATTCAATCATGGAGACAGGAGGACTTAGTAGGATGAATAGAAAACACATCCATTTCACCACGGAATCAGTCGGTGAAAATCATCAAAAGGCTATTAGTGGCATGAGAAACGATGCACAAATTCTTATTTACGCTGATATCAATAGTAGCCTAGCTGACGGAATTGAATGGTGGCTTAGTTCAAATGGAGTGGCCCTGACAGAAGGAAACGAATACGGCCTGCTACCCGTCAAATATTTTAAAAAGGTCATTGGGCGTAGAGAAAGAGAGGTGGGGACATTGTGGGAAAATGGCATCGAAGTCTCCAAGTTACCAGAGTCTTTGGCAAGTTGTAAGCCTCCAGTTGGTAAGAAAGCACCAAATAAGACAGGTTCTCAAAGAAATAACCATCAGCGCAATATTCCTAAAAAAGACGATTAATTATGACCAATCATCTAGCAAGACATGTTGCTATTTTGTTGCTCTATGCTTTTAGCTGGCATCAAGTGCACCAATTCTTTAATAAAAATGCAGTCAAGTTTGAAAGTTTTCGCAAATCTAATCCCCGGTAAATTGTAGGGGCTTATACCTATAGCATCTACTTCGGTCTTCAGATGCTGATCGTCTCGCAATTGTTGCACATTTTCCTAGTTTATTATTGTGATATTGAGATATGAAGACTTTTATAAACCAATATGGTGAAAGATTAAACAGTCTTTTCGTTGCATTAGTAATAACTATCAAATAAATTCTCATTAATATTTACAGGTAAACAACGTACAACTTAACTACTTCAGACCTGCAACCAAAAAGCCGAATCCTATCTCAAATCATGAAAATTTTGAATACATCATTAATTTTAACCTACTCTGGTGTGGTTTCTTACTCGCGGAAGTTTCATGTAGATCGTTGTGATGGAGGTAATGTGCCTACGAACACACTTCTGATCGTCTACACGACGGTAAAGGGTGCGGCTAAACAAGTAGTGGTATTAAACTTCCGAATCTATAAAAGATTAATATAACAAGTCACTACGCCACTATGTATACACTCATCATTACTCCCAGGAAATTTCTCCTAGCTTCTAGCCTGAAGGCTGTTCCTAGAATGTTCATGATCTAGAGTACACTCGCAACAATTGTTTATAACTTGATTATGCCTACAATACCCACAGGTTATAACTCGGTAGGTTCAAAGTTGAATATTACCTCATCCTAACTATCAAATCTCACAGCGAGAAAGACTCGTTTACAACTGACAAATCTGGCTAAAGGTACAAACCAACTTACCGGCTAATATAACAATTTTTCTAACCTCAACAATTTGCTATCTCTATATTTCTCCAGCCATTGAGAAAGTATTTACAGAGAGGGTATCGTTTAAAAGATCATACCAGCTGCAATTTTCTATACGAGTCCAATTTCTGTCATAGGTTTAGTATAAAGCACTAAAGCAAATTTATAGGTACAGTTTTTTAATAGAAATTACTTGATGAGAAAATATTGCCGTGAAAGACTGGATCTACATGCAAATCAAAGTATTTGGCATTAGGGAGATCCCCTCCATATCTTGTACGTTTTTGATAACTTAGCAACTCTCTAGAAAGGTTACTAATTATATCCTGATCTCTCCGTCCTTTGACATTCCCCCAGTTATTTCTCCTGGTGATTTTTATGCGTTAGCTAGTGCTAGCTATGGGTCATCCTAGGCTTGAAAACCATATATTTCCAATACTTCTAAAGTTAATGATAGGTCTTTGTGAAGGAGCATTAAAGATTGACACCTAGTAGTGGCGTCTCTCACGAGCCTCCAGCTCTTGTCTCGGGGTCTCCAGAGCTGAGATTGAGATAAAGACAAGCCGCTAGAGCTTCTACTTTCATCGATTCTACAGAATTATCGGAGTTCCATGAATACACGAAGAATTTTGGTTGTTGTCATTCACTGCACACGCTTTATTTCCTGACTTTTCTAACACTCAAAATGATCTCTGATGGGACCCAAGACGCTAATTATAAAGGCTGCTGAAAGGAGGACGGGAGGACAGCGGCTCCCTTTAGCACATAAAGACTGCAGCACCAAGCTAGACGGCCTCTCAGAGAGTTTCGGAAGGGTACTTACAATGGAAACTCGACTTTGAGTGAGAGAAATGGAGCGGTAGGCTAAGGGTCAAGATTATAAGAGAGAACTTAGACTTGGACGCACAAGTTTCTTCCTATGGTCCGGGTTAATTTGATTGCATACAAAAGATTATTTCTATGGCTGGTCAAATCACTAAGGTTTGACTAGCAACTCGCTATTCGATTCCTACTTTCCAACAAGAAATCAAGTGCCATACAGGAAGGAAAGAGTGAGCAACTGTGCGCGGTATTCCCTGCGAACCTGGGAGCGAAACATTCTCCCAGAGCTAAGTTCAGTCTAGTTTGGCAATACCAAACAAGCTGGCCCATGAGGCAATGACTCAAGATACTCTACTACGCTGGTCTTTCACTTCCAACGAGATCAGTTTCAACCCAAGCCTGCAAGTACGACCTAGCACATCCTCATTCAAATGACCACACCTCTCTTCGACCTTCTCTCGCCTCAGTTTGCCACCAAACACATGTCCACAGCGATATTTACACCCGACGGAGAAAATAAAGTGTTGGAAATATCGCGCAATGAAATAGGCGCAATATTTATTGAACGAAAGTAAAAGTTGACTAAAAGAGTGATATGTTCAGATTACAGCTAAAAGAGAGGGAATTGTGCGCTACAAGTACAGGTGTAGGCGACACAGAGCTAAGCCGCAGCATAAACAAGTGTGGCACCATCTAGGCATAGAAACCCCCCAATAACCTCCTTGTGCCCACGCCATACAGCCGCTCATGTCTCCAATAGGTGGCCTGAAGCGCTACCGTATTACCCATTCCGATCTCTTAAATATACACAAGATCGTGTCGGGAACCTAGACGAAATGGAGGGCCCGTACTTCCACGACACTCTATGTCTCCATTTCCAACACAAAGCGTGTTGCACATATCTGGGAGACAGTGCTTTGGAAAGAGCGTGAGAGAATTGGGGACAGATTCACAAGATTTTGCAGATGTTTGGTACAATCTTGATGGGCGTGAGTTAGAATTTTGGCCGGGAGTTTAACAAATTTAAGAGCATTGTGCGCGCCAAGACTTCGATTGCGAGAGTGCAGCTGACACTGTAAACACAAGCCAACGATGGAATTGTCATAGCTAAATAGCTGAATACAATATGAAAAAAAAAGAAAAAAAAAGCCAACAATGGAAGGTGCCATGGTCCGCCTCCTGATGGTTGTCTCCGGTATAGTTTGAGTAGCCTTGGCACCTAATCCACTTGGGAAGGAGACGCCTCAGATCACATTTTGCGCGGAGAAAAGTTAATGGATGGAGGGATGACGGGATAACTCGCGGGGTTTGAAACTGTTACGGCGTGCTATAGGGGAGATCGAGATCGCCGTTCGCCGAGGGTATGAAAAGGTCAAGTGGTGAATGCTATAGAGGTGGGAAGTCGACGAAGTACTATGGCTAGAAGGAAGCGGGTTTGCGAAAGGAATACTGTAATAATATTATAAGATTGTGAAGCTGGAGAACTACTTTGTTGTAGCTCCAGCTTCCTTAAGTACAAATAACTATCTAACATAATTCAACTAAGACTGTTGTAATTTCCCATCATGACTCAAACTGTGACCTCAACCATATCAATTCCAGTTGGCGCATTATCTAGTCTCACCATATAAGTGCAAGTGTTGAGGGTGAGTCAAAAAACCTGTTCCGTGAATTTTATCCTCAGGCATTCTGCTTAGACTCTGGTTCCAGAATGTCTCGCCATGACAGAAACGCTCCCCTGGGTGGGTATTGACGGGTGAAGGTTGACTTGGGATGAATAAATCCGCCATAACTTCGTAGTGGTACTTGTAAATGAGATCCGAGGCATGAGTGCTCTTCTTTTAAAGTGAACCATGTGTTCTGTACTTTTTCTTTGATACTGTATCATGACTAGCTAGCACAGTACGCAATTCAAATCTGCTGCAAAAAAAGTACTACGAAGCTACTCTTCACTATGAAATCTGAGAATGAAGAGGGGTAGATTTCAGCAATTTAATCTGCGGATTTTGTTCAGATACCAGTAGTTATGAGTATTGAGGGGCTATGCTGAGCTGAAATTACGTACTGTTGGGATGAAGGTATGGAAGGAGGTAGCTTTGGCTTTAAGAGAAATGAAGTTTGTGAGTTATACTCTTAGGACTTGGATCAATGGACGAACTTGAGGAAATTCCCGAGTATTCTCAAGTGTGTGAATAATGCGGAATTTGTTTAAATTTCCTATTGTGTAAATTGCTTGCACCATCTTATTGAAAGGACCTTCCTCTATATACTTGAATAGGGGGGCTTCTGCACACTAGTGGATGTTCCAACATATGTTCTTGTCTAATCGAGAAATGAAGGTTGTGAGAGATCCTTGTGTCACAAACCATCTCTGGGATATCGCGTCGCACCCAGTCAACCGAATCATGACGTACATACAATAATACAAGTTAGGAATCGAAATGGTTACAGTTTTACGATAGCAACAGTTGTCATTAAAAGTACTAGTCAGTTGCTATGTGAGAACTATAGACTGCTAAACCATTGGTTTTTCGAGAAGAACAACAACCTTGACCACGATGTAAGAAAGCAGATTGGGAGGAAGTTAACAGGAGACTCGCCTAAAAGCTAAGTAGGCTTTCAATAGATCACCTCGAGCTGAAATTTCCGGAATCTATCGATCAAAGAGTAAGCGCCATCACGCAGGCCATCAAGGAAACGATTAAAGAAACGATCCCTAGCGCCAGACCGTCAACTTTCTGCAAACTATATTGGACTAAGGAGTGCAGTGAGACAGTGAAAGAAGCGTAAAGGGCAAGGAGATTGTGGACCAAGCTGGGCTCCGAGGAAATCTGGGTGGAATACCAGAAGACTACTTACAGAAAGAAAAGCCAGATCAAGAAGGCTAAAATGATCGGATAGAGAGCTATTGTCTCTGAGGTAACGAACGATCCAGATAAGCTGTGGAAGCAAGCCAAGTGGGTCAAGAAAAGTCTGGAGTAGCGGTCACGACTTCCACAACTTCCCGACATCAAAGATAAAGATGGAAACATCTTTACTAAAGACACAGACAAAGCGGACATACTGGCTCAACACTTCTTTCCTCGGCCCATCCAAGCTAATCTGGAAGACATAGTAGGGGCAAGATATCCGGAACAACTAACCACAGTATCGAGCATCATCACAGAAAGTGTTACGGCGTGTGGTGAACGAATTGGGATTTGCCGTCTGCTGAAGATATCCTAGTAATGACTAGGCGAGTAAGGACGAGACGATATAGACGGGTAAGGTTAGGGATGTTAAATTGAACGGGCAAGGCGCAAAAGGTTAGATCTGCAGATCGAG